AAAAGTGTGTTTATAGAGATATTTTCTTCAGAGACAGAGCAATTACGGTTTGTATATGCTTTTAAGCAAAATAAAAATAACTGCAATCCACACATTTCTGTCTTTCACAAATACAACCTTAAGCCAATCTATTCCAGCACAACATGCCTTTTGATTATAAATGTGTCAAGATAACCCAAACACCACTGTGGTAGCAATACATTATTGTAATGCCATCAAACATGACATTTATTTTAAGACAGCAAGAAAACTAATACACACACAGCAAAAAACATTTTTATCTCACCCATAATATGCATTCACCATAAAATATGTTCAAATTAGTCTACAGAACTCAAAGACAGCTGACACCTCCCAGATGAATTTAAATGTAGGTTCTCAGGATAACTCATATTCCAGTTGCTCTTCCTTTCAACACAGCAATTTAAACAACAATGCCTTAAGCACTGATATTCCTGAAAAGGCTTATAAAACAATTTAGAGAATTACAGTAGAGTCATTCTCTCACAAAAAAAAAAAAAAACCAAACCAATAACCCTCTGAACTTGAAGTCAAACCACACTACTTAAGAGGAATATACAAAGTTTATACCAAGTTCCTATGAGAAGCAGGGTAATAGTTCTGTCAAAAATCCTTCAATCTGCTATAAATATGAATGTTTCTTTTTTTAGGCTCATGTTTTAATTTCTTTGCACTACCTGTAAATGTTAAGAAAGCGATTGGTTAGTTATTTCTGTATCTTCTACTGAAGGGCCACATTTTACAGAGTGGAAATTCATAGAGTGCAGAATGCAGCTGTGAATATTCAAAGAGATGAAGAATAATGATTCCTTTCTCGCATTTATATATCTACTACCAAGAGTCTGCCTAAACCCAGGAAACTATGGCCAACAAATCAGTAATTTTTAACCACTTATTTTAATTATAAACAGCCCTTTGAGAATCCAGAACACTCTATTCTTGAATGAATACACTTTGAATACTGTCTATAGCCAGTTAAATTGTGAGAGGACTGGAGAAAAACTCAAAAATTTTACCAGAAAGTTGTCATAAGTAACAAAATGATAGACAAGTAGGTTTACTGTGATGGGAAAGGTACAGGGACCTTTGATTCAATCGCCCAAGCTGCTGAGCCCAGCAGGGTAGGCATAATTTTGTCTCCGTCACTCAGACACAACTCACCCCAGAAAAGCTTTCTCATCAGATGCCCAGGTCTGACAAGGCTTCCTAGGGGTAGCTCCTACCTGTTCGCATTGGAGGGCTTTGCCAGCTGGGACTCGTTAAAGAATTAGAACTGTATTAAGTGATCAGTTTCAAGACAGTATTCCTATAAAAGGACAATACTATTTAAACAAAGATACAAACGTACATGGAACGACGCTGAAAGTCCTTACTGGATAGACAGAACAGCAATAACTGCATCAACATCCTGTTAAGTGCTAGAAGCTGACAGACAGTAACAGAATAAGGCAATATAACCACATCAGATCTTTTTTACACGGAAAAACTCAGGAAGAAGAAAGACACTGAGAGAGTGCAACTCCAATTTACATTTAACAGGAAAAAAGGGCTCCCAACATTTCCAGCAAAACACTGAGCCTCATCTTATGCATACATTTAGGACTAATACGCAGAACAGGCTAAGTACTAACTTTTTGTAATTCACAGAAGTTGAGGTCTTTCTTACCATAACTGCTCTAGTGGGAATATGGCACCTTAAGAGACTGAATTTTAGGACTTTGTAAAACAGAAGCATCTATGAGGCTTACAGAAAGTCATGGAATTGGATCAGTGTAATATCAGTCTTTGTTAAACATGAGTGAGCGTAGCAGTACGTATCTTTCACACATGCCAGTCACTTAACCACGAGAATCTAAACTGAAGTAAATGAGTCATAAATTCAGGCAAAGTGCATGTACTAATTTCCTCATGCAGGCCAGCTTTCTATTACAGTTCTGACTCTGCCTCCTAGCATCTCAGCTGTGAACAGAAAAGACTCATGTACTGATATCAAATATATCTTATAGTCAAATCCAGCCAGATTTAGTATTTCCAATATTACTAACCATAATGCCAATGCAAGAAGTGATTTAACATTTATTTTAAAATTTATACTCTTAAACCTCTCTTCATATAGTGAAACATCAAAAAAAAAGCCCTTTACAGTTTCTTTAGAGAACATCTTTAACCTTATGTTATTAAAGTTTGCCAAACTTCTGTCTTGTTTCATTAACACCACCTGAGGTGCTTCTGTGGAGTTTCCTTCAAAATACACCAGAATTCTGATTTTCTAATAGAAAAAACTCTTCACTTCAAAAGATGTCTTCACTTTTGTAATTACATATGGCAAAACTCAGAAGATGATCTATGAACTTCTAAATACAGGTAAGGATTACATTTACTCTGAGTAAACACAGTACAACATAACACACCACATGCCACATCACACAGAACAATCAAACTACAATACAAATGCAATGAGTACTGCCACATTAGACTTCATAAAAAGTGCTCTACTTCTTCAGTTAGCTGAGTTGTACATATTCAGTTTTTAATCTTTATCCATAAATAGATTTCTCTGGAATACTAATCATTGTCCCTCAACATCCGCCAATTCCCTTGGGAAAAGAACATAAGAAAACCTGTCTAACCTACACAGGGGAGAAGGAGCTTGACCTATTACCACAGTGAATGACTATGTCGTGAACGTTCGCTATGTCATATCTGTTCAAGAGTGAGCCTTAAGTATTTCACCCCCTCTACCTATCTTTTCATTTTCCTCTCTCACTCCTAGTGAGTCCAGAATAAATTGGTCTTTATTTTATGTGTACCCAGCAAATAGTGTCTTTAGGTTCAATAGTAATTTAAGTTAAATGAGACAAAGTTTCAATTTCTTTGCACCACTATTTTAATCCAATGAAGTCCTAAAATATATCCAAAATAGTTACTTAATCCTAATTTAAGAGTGTCTGGATTTAAACATTCTATTTTCCCAGAAAAATACTGTATTGCTTCTCACTGTAATAATTCACGTTAAAAGAAATCAACCCCAACATTTTTTGATTTTGACTATACTAGCAAAAGCTTAGAGCTCCTATAGTCAGGAGAGGAAGCCAGATCACAAAACATACCAGACTCCTGAAAAACAAACTAGAGCCAAACCTGACCTATCAACAGGGGGTTTAGTCAGTTTACGTATGAATGATGTCCAGATGTGGACACCTAGGGCTTTCCTCCACACAGAATTAACTGAGATCAAAAGCTTTATCTGATTATTTACACAATACCACACCAAAGACTATGTTATTTCCATGGACAGATTAGACCTGGAAGCAGTTCAGCTATTTCCACTCAGTTCATAACAGTAACTACTGCCAGACTTAACCCTGCTGTAACTCTGAAGTAAGCAGATTGGATGTGACACAGCATCACCTAAATGAAACCAAGTTCATCAGTGCAAAAATCCATTTTCAATACTACCAGAGTACAAAATGTCCTCAAAAAAAGCGTCCTTCCTAGGGATCAGCACAAGAGAAACCATATTTCTACATTTTTATTTCAGAAGGAAATATTTTACAAAAGGGCATGTCTCCAGCTATTTCCTTTCTCTCAGCAGTTCCCCAAAGAGCAAAAAGGCAGCTATTACCACCAGTCCATTTGCTGTCAAACTTCAGGACACCAGTGACAAGGGTAACTAACAAACCAGTACTGGTGAGAAGGCGGCACAGGGGTGCACTGGCTGCATGGGAGCCAAACCCAGCCCAGGGAACAGCTCGGCTGGGTTACTGCCTTCATCCAAGGGAGGCACAAACCGCTTCGAATTCTAACACTAACTGCTAACATCTGAACTCATAATAAAAGGCTAGCTGCACCTCATTTTTCTTTATTGCTATGTCTGAGTATTACAAGAAAGCCTTCATTAGTAACAAGTGAATAATTTTCACTTTCTGCCTAGGAAAAAGGTCACAAGTTTTAGGGCAAAGCATGCAGCATGTCTTTCACTGACTGGAATCAAGAGTCCTCACAGACAAATCAATACTCGGGTGGACTTCAGTCTGTTCAGTGCTCCAGTGATGGCACCCCAGCCATCCCCACCACAGCTGCGGTGTGGGGAAAGGGGAGGTGACAATCAAGCACCAGCCTAACTTTTTTCTGCCAAACACCGCAAATACTACTACACGAAAATAGCTTTGCGCCCGCTGCCCGGGCTCCAGGTGCCCCATGGGGAGCCAACCTGCCGAAGGCCCAGGCCTCAGCCCTGAGGAAGGCCGGCGGCGGGCGGCACCCCTCACCTGTACCGCTTTGTGTCGCTATGAGGACTCGGCCACGTCCGGGCCGCCCGGCTGGGTCTCGGCTGAGGGGCCGCCGCCCGCCCCGGGCACAAGGACCGGGAGAGGAGCC